TAAAAGTTGTAAGACAGTAACAACCACTCGAATAAGAGGAAGAAGAAGAAGCTTACTTCTTAGTTGTCGTCCGTAAAAGGCCGAAACTGCAACCAGTAGCAGAGACAACACCAATACTGTCTTGAGACCCAACATCTGCAAATTGTTCACCAATAATTTTGAGAAACTTGTCGATCAGCGAAATATTACCGATGCTAAGTCAACTGCTTTGACGACAATAGCTGACAATCAAACAGCTTATCAAACATTGAAAACATTAATAAGAAAATGTTGAAGTTCTTAGCTTCTGTTTGAAATTTGCAGCAACATCACGACATCTGTACCATTTGCTGCTTCCTAACTGCAGAAGTAACAAAAAAGAAAAAAATGGCAAAAAGCAAACATTTCTGTTCGAAAAAAATTTTTTTTACTCAAATTAATAAACCCAAGAACAACTTAAAATGCCAACATTCGAGATGTTTACTTAGAAAACTGTCACTTAGACAGTAAAAACAGTAATTGTAACTAATTAGTAAAGATTTTAAGTTTTGTATAAAAACAGGTAAAAAGTTTTACATCAAACTCCAATCTTATCCAACTCTTTTCTCCTTTATCTTTCTTCTTACTTTATAACTTTTTTCAAATATTCAAACTTCTGTTGTTTGTAGTACAGAATATACAGAATAATATCTAAAAATCCCGAGTAAAAGCAGGAGCCGCAGGATTTAGAGCCGCAGGATTAAGAGTCGACAAATTTGTGCACTGACCAGCAACAGGTTTAACGTTCTCAAATTAATCATGGATGGAACAGACGACAATTGTCAACGATGAACTTTTTTCGCCAAAATTCAGTAATATTTCAAAGCAATAAATAGCAGATTCAGTCAGTTCTTCAGCAATGAATGAAATCTAACCCAACAAATTTTCAATCCAGCCAGCCCACACTCTAACGCTTCAGGTTTACATCATGCAAATTTTCGCAAACGCATGTGATGTAAATAGAAGAAGTCATGAAATTTATCTTTGTGTTTTCTTTTGGAAATACAATCTTTTTTTTTCGTCATCATTTCTCCTCCTACAAACACAAAAGAAATGAGTCCAAAAAGTTTCACCTAAATGACTTCTGTCTTTTATTCCACCTTTTTTGAAGCAGCATACACACAAAATGACATTTCCTAACAACATTATTCACTTTTCTATTGGTTAAAGCAGATAACACAGATGAAACTTGTGGCAGCTTTAGAAAGGAAGAAAAAGAAAAAATAACATCTAAACTTTTTCTTCTTTTTTTTTTTTTTTTTGCTGTATCTCTATCTTCCGAGCGGTATACATAAATATTAGAAAAAAAAAATTTAACAAGAAAGAAGCAAATGTGATTCAACTATACTTTATTTGCATTTTTACTTTTTTTTTTTCTTTTTTTCACACAAATGTCGTCAGAAAAAAATATGAAAAATAAGTTGCTAAAAAATCAGCTACTGCTGTTGGTCGGTATTGCTGTCTGTTTGTTGGTGAATAAACAATTGAGAAGAGGTAGACGACATTAAAAAAAAAAAAAA